GGCAGATACAGTACAGTCGAAAAGATCAGGAGTAAAAAGAGGAGCAGGTAGCACTGAAGAACAGATTAATATTTGAGGCGTGATTTTCAAAGGTGTAAGTGGGCATGACCAAAATGTGTGTTCAACTTGGGGGTGCAGTTATGATTGCACACCTAATCATGGTAATAGTTTCCACAATCGGCCATTTATACCTATAACTCGTCATTTGGATACTCACAAAATTAACACATTTAATGAGAAGCTAGCAAAGAGCCCTCTCCAAATATACCTGTCTACAGGGTATAATCCTAGAGCTGTCTGGATTTCAGACCAGAATATGGAGCAGATATGATGATGCTCGTGGACAAGACGGTAGTTCTATATTTATATTCTTGGACTTTGTGGCAGCACTCAACATGGTTGGAATCAAGAAAGACCCTGAAATAGCTCAAGGCTTTACCCAGAGGTACCCAAATAGTTCTGTGAATCAGCTCCTCTGTCCCCCAGGTGCTCTCACCTGTGCAGTATCAAATTGTTCAATCCTCTCTTGGCCTATTGATACCTACATGCAGCTATTGGGCAAAAGTGAGAGAATTCTTGGGCTCAATTGCCAACGATATGCAGATGGCATTCAGCTCTGTTATGCCTTCACATCATATGCCAGAGGTAGTCAATAGGCAGTACTTGGAACCATGGAAGGGGATGAGCGCTCAAATATAGACAGGAGTAACACCATGCAGAGCCTGGGATGCAAAGACAAGGAACTTAGCAGACGGAGAGTTAGCGAGGGGATTGAAGGAGAAGAGTGACATGGACAGAAGAACAGGACAGGAAGATGATTGCAGCGTTTTAGATAGCTGGGGATGCAAATCCAATAACCTGGAGATGCCTGGAAATGAGTGTCTTGACTTCAGTAATTCAGAAGATCATGTCTGTATTAAAATTGAACAGGATGGTTAGGGCTCAGATTGGGGTTAAAAAAAAAATAGAATTCCCAGTGTTTTAGAATTCAGTGTAGAGTTCGAGCCCTACTGCAAAGGGGAGCAGAAGGTGTGATTGCCTGACTATAACCAGCTACATAGAAGTCTGGAGTAGGGAGCTTTTAAAAATTGCTTTTCTTCCTTATGTATGTATATACTGAGCGGCATTTCTGAGGGAGTTGTACTAATTAACTCTTCTCTCTATCCCTACCCCCTTAAATCTCAGTTGACTACAGTGGCACCTATCAGAAAAGAATATGTGGGACACAAGGTCTTTACTGCTGAAGTCAGCCAGGCAGCTGTTAACAGCTTTGAAGCAGATGTCTGAGCTTGAGTTTTAGTCATTTTGTATGATTTGTGTTGATAGCTAACAGGGGCTAACTTATTTATCCGGGAAACTCCCACTGAGGTGCAAACACTTGCTGTAGATGGGATCCTGTTTGGCAACCTATAGAAACAGCACACTGGAATACTCCTTCTACATAAACTTTTCTTTTCTTTACTCTTTCAAACATTCGCTGACCTCATTTATATAGTATGTCACAGGGTACATCTGGTTTTGGTTGTTTCGTGACTTGGTGTTCCAGTTGGAAAATGCAGTGTTGTGATTTAAAACACGGTGTCAGGACTCTGATATATCTCAGCTATCTAAGACTTACACATGGTTGCTTTTGCTCTCTTAGGCACCAGTCCTCTAGTACAATCTGCTAACATGGACCCTTGCATCCATGCAGAGCAGAAGGGTCTATGCTAGCAGAATGAGATGCAAGATCGGAATCTTAATTTGGTGTTTCATCATATCTACTATTTCATCAAGTAGATATTTCCTTTGGTTTTTTTTTTAAGATGTTCCTTCATGTTCTTCTTTGGGTATGCTCATCTGATTAGTGCCCTGCCTCTTCCCATTAAAATCATTTATTTTTCCATTGCCAACATGTATGCTACGCCATCGCCTTGCTCTGTTGTCATATTAAATTTTCAGAATTGCTGTAGCCAGTGCATTTCCCCCATTTCAGCCTCAAGAAAGAGACTGTCTAATTAATCTTTTAAAACCATACTTGTTTGTAACTGGAAGAACTCTGCATTTTTTACAATAGTGATGAAATCAGCATTGTTGTATATAACTTTCCCCTAGCCATTGTCTTTTTTTTCATTTCTGAGAATTATTATATGTGAAATGTCCAGTACACTTTTCACAAGCAGAGAGCATTATGGAACTTACATAGGTTGTGACATCTGTCTTTGGGGTGTTAAAAGATACTGTGATACTTGTTTCCAGGGCAATTTGTTTACCGAAACAATAGTGATATTTGGATCAGTGCAACTTTTTGTGGCTTAGTTTTTCAGTTTCTCCCATAAGATGTTAGTATAACAGTAGATATTTTTAGGTCCGGTTTCCCACACCTCTATTGCGTAAATGTCTATCTATCAGAAATAATGCATGTCATAATCTTACTGGCACGAAAGAGCAAATGTAATTGGCAGCTGATGAGTTGTAGCTGTCTAGATATGTCAGTAAATTGTGCAAGTGTTGCTGTCGTCAGCTTTAGGACTGGGTTGTCAATTCATATGCCATTTAACACGAGCATTACTGCTCTACACCATCAACAAAAACATTCCCAGAAGTTGGTGAGTCATAATAATTTGGCTTAAGGGGGAAAATAATTATTGAAAATTTAGTTTGTATGAACTCACTACTGTAACTTAAATGAATAACTAGAAGCTACAGAGGGAGTGAAGCTAGAACTAGCATGTAAAAATATTTACATAAGACCCATTTAATGATTAAAATGAGAAAATAGGGAGTCCAACTCATAGAATATTAACTATTTGCTTTCCCCTCTATGCATTCTTTTTCTCAGTTCCCGCCTGTTGAGGTATCAGTTGCTAAAGATGCATTTTCTTAGCTTATTTATTTGGGTGGTTTTTTTTTTTACAGTGAAATATCTTTTGCTTTTAAAAGAAAAGGTTTTGTTTGTTTGTAATTAAGCTATGACCAACAAAAGTTTGTATGTATAAATAAATAAATAAATAAATAACAAGACTCTGAGGTTTGTCAGTATGGCTCAATGGTTTTCATAATTTCCTCTGGCCCAGAAGATAACAAGATTAGGCATCATCACTTGGGAGTCCTATCCAATGCCTATACTGCTAACGTTGGAGTTCTAGAGGTGGGGGCTACAGAGCGGAAGTTATTCCTCTGTGGTGATTTCAGCTTATAACTAGCAGCTGTCCAGCTGTCCCGTGGCTCTTTTCTAAGAAAATAGGTGATAAATCAACATTTCTGCTCAGTTAAAAAGCAGCTGCTAAATATCTAGGGATGTGTGAACGAATTATGGTACTGTGTTTGTCTGCATAGTCACTACACTACCTAGCTCATTACTGTAAAGTCATTGGAGGAGCTCTTGAGTATCACTGTTTCAGGGACCCAAAATAAATGATGACGTGTACCTGTTCAAAGGGGCATTTGAAAATGCAAGAAGAAAGTAAACGTTGTAGTATATTTACAACTGAACTTATCCTAGTGTTCTTAGGGCTTGGACTCATGAGTTCTGTTTTAATAGTGCAAGTAAATCAAAAGTTCTTGTTAGTCTGAAGAACTCTCCTCACCTTTTTTTTTTTTTTTTTTTTTACACAGTAATGAAGGTAAACACTGATTTTCACAAATGTATTTGTCCCTTAATTTTAAAAAGTCCTAACTTTACAAATCTTTTGTGTAACCTTCAAAACACCAGGGTCTGTTATTTCCTACATTTTTTTTCCTTTTCATGTCCCCCAAACAGTCCTATGTGTACAGTTTAAATGAGAGATATAGATATGTTAATGGTGTGATTTCATACCTACAGATGTTAGTGTGAGGACTTCACATAGAATCTACTCTTGAGTGCCACGCAAAGCTAAATCTACTTCAAGTTAATTCTTTTATGATGCTTGTCTCTCCACCTTATGCCAATGTCTATGCCTACACATGTGAGGATGTTATTGTCAGGCCCCTAGTTCATGAGTTTTGGAGATTTCATCCTCTTGCAGAAATGTGGTAATGACCAACCGCAGCATTTAATAGCATTTCCCTTCCTTCCATGCCCATTCCTTTATTTGTTTACTTTGGAGATAAGGGCTGGTGCTTATCAACACTTATTAAGAAAGAAGGGGCTGTAACAGATATTTTAAATTAAAAACAAAGCTTCAGAAAGAGGTTGTGGGGATTTACTGCTCGGAAGAACAAATCAAAAATGGCTGCTCTGATGGCGCTGCAGAAACCCTATAGTTTTATCCAGCACAATCATGCCTTTCAGTGAGATTCATTCTCATGCGGTGGCTGCAGATTTGGACCACCAGTTCATAACTTTATTTAAAATGCACATGCACAAGGAGAAAGGGAAGTTTTCAGGTTCTTCAGGGTTGTTCAGACAACAGTGCATTCTGTAGAATCTAATTAAAAAATACAGGTAGAGAAATTGGTCTCAAGAGTTCCTAGGGTCTTATTTTTTGCTTTAGTTACCTCCTGGTCTGCAGAAAGGAGACAGTTGGTAACTGCTAACAAGTCGCTTAGAAAGGTACGGCAATGTACAGTCTCTGAAGGTTAAAAAGTTGCTGAGCCTCTGTCAGTCTCTTTAAGACTCATCTTGATTAGATGACCTCATTAAATAAGCTAATGAATATAACCAGTCCTTCTTTTGGAGAGATACTGACTAATCCTTGCAGAAGGCTTCCTAACTGCTGCCCCTAATTCCCAGGTGAATGCCAACTTTATTGGCTTTGTGTTTCTGAAAGGTCTCTGCAGTAAAGGTATAGTGGCCATGAATGGGATACTTTAAACTTTTAGAACTGTACTTTTCCTTTTTCCTTGTTATCATAAGCACTCATGAAATGGTGCGTATGTGCACAGGGAAGATGATTGCATTGTGGGGGCTAGTTGTGTTATAATTTATAACATTTGTCATTAACTTTGGAACCAAATTAGGCATTTGATTAATGTTTCAATGTTTTGTAAAGCCATTTAATCTTTTTTTTTTTTCTTTGTACCTCTTATTTCTACAGGATCCGTCTGGTGAAGGTTACAGAGAAACAATTGGTGATGAACACTTTCGTCTAGAAGGTACATAAAGAACAATTCTCCTTAGTTAATACTAAGGCATATTTGGAAAATTCAAACCAGGTCATACAGTGTGAACTCTGTGAATAATAGTGTGTAATCTGTATGGGGAATGTCATTATCTTTGGTGGCTAATAAGACAGGGATACGCCATATTTCTGTAACCCTCCTACATCCACAAATCTAGACGATGTCTCCACTTTGAGCTAGGAGTGTGATTCCCATCACCAGTAGACATACTCACACTACCTCTCATCAAGCTAGCGCACTAAAAATAGCAGCGTTGCCATTGCAGCACAGGCAGCAGTGAGCAGTGGCATGAGCTAGCTGCCCCAGGTGCAAACCCTTGTGGACCCCGTGGGAAAGTATTTGGGGTGGCTAGCCCACGCCATCACTCACCGCTGCCCATGCTGTTGTGGCTTCTTTTGCAAGATAGCTCAATGAAAGCTAGTGCGAGTATGTCCACTTGCACTGGGAATCACACCCCCAGCTCCAAGTGCAGATGTGTAGCCACAGTCCGTGTGGCATAGAGACCAAATTAGTTAATCTCCAATAAGAATTAGAGATTTTTGCTCAGCACGTCTTGAACAAAAGAGCAGATGTCATTATTTGCGCAGATCTCCTGTCTATGAGGCTAAACTTGCCTCTTCTGTAATTGTGGCTCTAACAGTAGTGGGAAATGGTGTAGCTCTGCTGTGAAGGGAACAGCAGGACCGTACCCATCCTGTGTGCCAAAGAACATAGCTTAATGGGGCTTCTTGCACCCTAATGGGTTGGGTATGGGGTTGAGGAACACAGAGTTGAGGACATTGGATCTTCACCTGTGTAGATCCACCAGCTATCCTGCCCTGTGTAGCAAAGACACAACAGCCATGGGGCTGCTGAAGCACTTATGAGATTGTCCCTTACACAGTGGCTAGTTACTTAGGTTCTGGGCTAATGGAAGCAATGTCCCCAATTAGTTCAGTGTAAGGAACCATACCAAGTTTTATTTAGACAATACCATCATTCTATATAATGGCTACTTGTGCTCGTGCGTGGTTAGAAGACTCTGCATAAAAATTTCCTTGGATTTTAAGGTTTAAGGTCATTTAGACTGTAGATAAATCTCCTGTTTTGAAAAGAATAGAGATGGATACTGCATGAGGTTGCTTAGAGGAAGCTTCAATGGAAGAATTCATTAAGATTGCTATCTAGAATGATGAGTTCATACTTCTGCAGTTAGAAGCTGGATGTCTTCTGACAGCAGATTTGGACATTGTTCAGTACCTACACAGTGGAAGAGTTCATTTTACAGAACGCAAGTCCTTCAATATGTTTGTGTTCTTTTACGGTTCTCCCTTATAAGTTCTAACCAGATCCAACTCTGCATAATTTGTGAGTTCTGCTGGGGTCACAGCAAAAGATGGCACCTATTCAGTTTTTCACATCAATAACCCAATGCCCTTTCACTGTTTGTCAAGAAGATTACCATCCAGAGCTCATCTTTGTGTTGGTGGAACTGAAGGTGCTAAAAATACCTTTTCCCATATCTGTTAATATGGCTTCTGCAATTCTGCTCTGCTAGTCCAGTAGAACTTTCTCTACTTATTTCTTTCTGAGTGGTGAGCCTAGGTTCTTAGCCTCCTTTTGCTTTTCTCTAGCAAATGATTCTTGGAGCATTTTTATTCCTTTGAGGATGGAAACATAAAGTTTTAAATCTCATTTAGAGACTGCTGCCTAATTTATATCAGAAGGGGTATGTAAACTATTGGTCTGCATTAGAACATAAGAACGGCCATACTGAGTCAGATCAAAGGTCCATCTAGCTTAGTACCCTGTCTTCCGACAGTGGCCAATGCCAAGTGACCCAGAGGGAATTGTTACCCACAAAAAATTCTGTCACTCACACACTCTAGAGGCACTCACCTTTGCCCCGTTCCTAGGGCTCAGGCATAACCCTGTCAATTTAGGCACCCACCATCACCCATCTGTGGACTCAGGCGTAACCTTACACTCTGCGGGTTTGCGGGGTATTTTATCAGTGAAAGAGCCTTACACAGTAATATCCTACTTAACCTCTATTTATTAACAATCACCAAAACCAGAATGCACACGCTACACATATAGTTCTCACCACTCCCAATAAGGCAGATGAACTTTTCTTGATGGCCAGTCATGATCTGGTCCATCTGGGGGACTGCACGATGTGATTGGCAGAGTGTTGAGGTCTGGCAGCTTTGTTCTTGGGGCTGTGTCCTCGAGCTGCTTCCAAAGAACTTCCTTTTGAAAGTTTATATAGTGAAACTTGAGTCCTGGGGGGAACCTATACCTTAACCAATCATTATACTAACCAATCCTAACAAAATTCTCTAACCAATCCTACCCCACCACCTTAATTAATTTACACCTAGCAAAATTAATTATGTAACAGACACAAACAATCAAAGAACCAGACAGAGATCATACAGACAAACAATAGGGAAGTGGGGACCATAATGACAAAACAATAAAGAAGTATAGATTTTACACCCACAACTATTGATAAGCGATTTCTTGCCAGACAGAATGCCATCAAACTAAGTTTTTTCTTTAACCATCTTAAGATCTGTTTCTTTATCTGGTGACAGTGGGTGCTATTAGGACGGGGTCGCCTTCTTAAAAGCCCGATATTACATTGTTTTAATGTAATTTAGATGGAATATGAGGATGTGACTTCCCGCTTGTCAGCTAATGGCTGCTGCTCTTTTAACCTGGCTGCAGACGAAGGCCTTATTCTTACAGTCTGAACGGTAGATATGATGTGCTGAAATCAAACAGAGTTTGTAAAATGACCATTACCAGGGTAACGCCTGTCCACTTCTGTTGGGTTAGAGTTGGCAAGACCCTGCTCTCAGGAAGCGTTGTGGAATTGTTGAAAGAAACTAGTTTAAAACCATCAGCCGATTTAAAAGCTACTTTTTCACATAGAATTTTAGTTTCTCTCTTTTTACATAGAATTAAAAACTGAGCTTCAGTGAGTTGTGATAACATTATCTATATTAGCGTGGCCAGCTACTGGTTTTATTTTAAAAAATATGTAGTTCATGCCAGAGGAAAAACAAACTCTGTGGTAAAAGTATATATGAGAGTTGTCGAGTAGATCATCTTACAGTTAGGATACTGAACTGGGACTCAAAAGATCATCCACTCTAACAGTGTCTGCATCTTAGTTCCCCATCTGTAAAATGGGTTAAATAATACTTCAGCCTTTTGTCTCTATCATCTCTTTAGCTTGTAAATCCTTTGGGGAAGAGATTATTTCTTACTATATGTTTGTTCAATATGACCCCAATCTCAGCAGGGGCCTCTGAGTGCTGCTGTAATAGAAATAATAATTAACATTTGTTACTAATAAACCAACATTTGGTAACAGTTACCACATCTGAGATTGCTACAGTTTTTACCTCCGTTTAGAATAGGTGATGTGTGTGGTAATAGTTGGCAAATGTTATTGAATTTTTAATAGAATTATTGTAAAAGACAACTTTACGCTGGATATGAAAAGCCAGTAAAGTGAATAATTCTGTTCACAATGTGTCTCATTTTGTCTTTTTCATCCAGTTATATTGTGGTGTATAATACACAACTCTGCATCTAAATCATGGTTTACTTTTGGTTGTGGCATTGCACTGTACAGCAAACATAACACCCAGCGTGTGCCATTTTCAAACTAGCCAGCAACAGGCTTCTTTACTAGAGAGTAAAACTGCTCTTGGCACTTTTAGGCTATTATATTTTGTCATTGCTGCTCAGTGCCAAGAAGTGCAGTTCACATTATTACTACCAGTGTGTCTCATTCGTATGAAGAAGCTGAGTAGTGAGGGCAGGAGTTAGATGAGTGTAGGTGGTCCTTTCTCACTCCCTGGAGCCAGGGAAGAATTTTGCCCTGGCACTCCTGCAGCTGGAAGGAAGGTAACTGTTCTTTCTCGGGATTTTCTTGCTTAAATGCACACTGGGAAGGTGCTGTCTTGTTCTAAAAAGACAACAAATTTCCCCGACCCTTTCTGTACCTACCTGCCCTGCTTTCCCCATTAGAAACAATTCTATCCACTTTTCCAGAACAGTTTCGTTAATGTGGCTTAATTGTGTCAAATCAAAATGCTTTCAGACTTTTCAGTGCATCCACAGTACCCTTCTGTTCTGTTGGATACTTCCTCTTGCAGGGGTAATGGACTATTCGAACAGCAGTGAAGCTACCCCTTTCTAGTGACGTTCAAACATGGCTCTATAACATGGTTATGGATGGAAACGACAACTAGTTCTAACAATTTTCTACACAGAAACTGCTTGTGTAAAGTAGAAGTGGGTATTTTCGATAAATAGATCTAACTACATAAGATAATTTTATGGCCCCCCATTAGTGTACTATAAGCACCCCACCATCTTTAGTGTATTTATCCCCCATGAGGTAGAGAAGTACTACTGTACAGATGGGGAACTGAGGCATAAAGAGACTAAATGACTCACCCAAGGTCAAATAGGAAGTCTAGGGTAGGGCAGGGATTTGAACACCCAAATATCAGACAACCAGCTTACCCACTGGACTTTATTTCCTCTCTGGGTTTGTAGGGGTTGAGAAGAAATGAGTAAATCAATGGTTTATTCCGGCGGGGGCAGAACCTTGGGAATTTAAGCACTTTGGGACAGGTGAAGATTTCCTGTACTGGATTCTGGTGCTTTTTAGTGTTAGGGTTTGTCTGTACAGAGCAGCAATGCGCACTATGGGGGTGTGATTTTTAAAGTGCTGATGCATTGTGCATTAATTGGTCTGTGTAAGACCCTGCTGGTGTGCACTAAAAGTTCTGTTTTGAATAGCACTACATTAAAGCACTCTAAGGATCTTTTAGGGCACACCAGCAGGGTCTACATGAACCAATTAGTGTGAGGCGCATTAAATTTTAAATTAAATAAAATATAGTTAGTTCACTTTAGAAATCGCTATCCCTTTAGTGCACATTGCTGCTCCATGTAGACAAGCCCTT